TTGATTCTTGTATATAATTCTTGTGCTATAGGAGTCTTATTAAGGAAGTTGGGGCCTAATCCCACATGATGAAGATTAGGGCAGAATTTCATTTTTTAGTCTGAATATTTCAATTTACATACACACCCATTTACACCACATTTTGTTTACCCATTTATTTGTTAGTGAATACCTGGGTTGCTTCTAACTTTTGGCTACTGTGAATAATGCTCCTGTGAACATCTGTTTGAATCTTTGTTTTAAATTCTTTTGAGTATATCCTTAGAAGCAGAATTGCTGGATCATGTGATAATTCTGTTTTTGAACTTTGAGAAACCATCAAATTGTTTTCTATAGCAATTGCATCATTTTACATTCCCACCAACAAGTCAAAATAGTTCTCTGTACCTTTTTGTTTTGATAAGATACATGAATTTTTCTGGAAGATGAACTTATGTTACCCACATTTTTCTTGGGTGTCTATCATACATTCTTCTGTGCATCCACATTGTCAGATTTCCTCTGATACATCTATCTATCTATCTATCATCTATCTATCTGTCATTCTTGTATTTCAATATGAAGATTTTATTTATTTTTAGGTCATTTTCTATTTTCACCCTTAATAAGGAGCAACTCACATATATCAGTATTTTTAGAGATGATACCTAAGTAAATATTCAATATGTTTTACATCTTGTGACCCTCACCTCTTCTCATATTAATTATCCACTTCCAAAGCAATGCCTTAAACATCATCATTGCTCAGAACTGATTGTTTTACTTCTGAGATTATTTTTTTGTACCCAGGCTTACTGAACCCAGAGATACCACTGAGCTCCATCCCAGCCCTTTTCATTTATTTTTATTTTGAGACTAAGCCTTAGTTTCTTGAGCCTTAGGCTGGCCTCAAACTTTCAATCCTCTTGTCTCAGGCTCTTGAATTGCTGGGATTACAGGTGTGTATCACCACACCTGGCCACTTCTGAAATTTTAAATAGCAATGTTCTTGACCTGACTATAACCTCCTATCCCTTCAGGTCTTAAATTTTCTTAGTCCTATTATATTTATTCTGTAATCTCCTTAAGATTTATGGTTTCTTGATACTTCCTTTTTTTCCTCAGTATACATGTCCCTTCAACTTTATTTTCTTACCTATTTAGCTTAGAAAATCATTTATCATTCCAACAACATTTTTTGCTAGTACCCTCCAATCTTCTCTATTCTCTATAATTTTCCTCTTATAATTTGGAATCATAAGACAGTTCAATCCTTTGCCTTTTTTACTGTTATACAAGGGTACTTGAATGTAGCATCCATCCCTAGCTGAGTCCTCAGGATTGTTTGACTTGGCACCACTTTTGTGGTGCTGGGGATTGAACCCAGAGCCTGTACACACTAGGCAAGTGTTCTACCACTGGACTACATTACATCCCCAGCCCTTGACTTGATTTTTTTTTTTTTTTTTTTGCCCATATTCAGTTCTCTCTCCCATTCCGAACTTGAGTGGTTATTCTAATCCTATCATTCCTGGCAGGGCCTCCTGACTGCTCATCTTCAGAATCTTACATCAATCTCTATTTTTTTGAAGCCTCAAATTTATTTACACTCTGTTATTCTTTTACCTCTTTTACTCCTATATATGATTACAAGTTGGCCATCTTCCTGTTCAACATAAACTCTTCTGCAAATACTCAGAAGTCTCTTTCTTTCCACCTTCTCCAGAGTCTGTTCAATAACACTCTTATGGGCTCCTTCCAATCAACCATACAAATTCAAGAATTTGCCACTTTTCAAAACCAGAAAAAGAAAATCACTAACCTTCCTTCCTTTCTTCTCAACTGTCATTACTATATTTTTTATTCAAGTTTCTTCAAGGATTATGCCATTGTCCAAATTGCCATACTTCTTTACCTTTTGTTTTTCTTCAATTTACTGAGAACTCTTTCTTTTATATTTAATTCTCTAATGAAACTTTTTTTTTTTGTGGAAGTCACTAATGACCACCAAATATCAAACACAAAGGATACTTTTAATTCTTATCCAACACAACTATTTAGTAGTATTTTGCTTTTTTTTTTCTTTTTGGAAATCTCCCCTTAGTTTTAGTAATTTTACACTCATTATTCTCCTACTGAATAGTTTAGGAGAAATCATGTTGATGTAAATAGAAAAAAAAGGCCTCTGAAAACAAATATTTTAGCTTCATACTTTTCAAAATAATTGAGTGATCTGCAACTCAGCAATGAGAAGGAGCCTTAAGAACTGGCATCTGAGTTTTTTTTTTTGAGGAAGTAATGTCAGTTCATGTTAGATTATCATACATCTGTTAAAATTCTTAGACACTGTCATTTTACCAACAGAGCACCTGCTGTCCTATCTCACAAGGGTAGCAGAAAAGTTTCCATAAAAATTATTCATATAAATGGAGTGAATCTGCTACCTCCCACACTGTAACACCAATAGGCAACAATCATATGACGTTGATATAAGCCTGTGTGTGTGTGTGTGTGTGTGTGTGTGTGTGTGCAGTACTGGGGATAAAACCCAGGGGTCCTCAATCACTGAACCATGTCCCTAACTCTTTATTTATTTTGAGACAGAGGCTTGAAATGTAGGCTGGCCTCAAGCTCCTGAATAGGATTATAGGTGTGCACCACCAGGCCTGGCTCATAAGTCTTAATAAAGGGTTAATCATGTATCCTTTTAATATTTTACTGAGACCCTAATTTAATACAGCTAACAAACATGCATTTGAAACACTAGCTCTAAAACTTGGCTGCACATGAAAATTTCTCGGAGCTTTAAAACACACCTATACCTGATGTAACAAGCCCAGGTTGTGTAGGGAGGGCATCAGGATCAGGATTTTTAGAGGTTCCTCAGGTGATAATAACAGTAGTTAACAGTTGAGAATCACTGGTATAAAGAGAGAAAAGACTATAATATTCATTTAACAGTTAAAAAAAGGAATGAATATATTCATTCATTATTGGAGTTTGCCTACCTGCCCACCTGAATACTCATCTATAGCCACTGATGGTAACTGCAAAAACAAATGATTTCCCACAGTCAGTGACAAACTAAATGGCTTAAAACAACTGAAATTTAATGTGACACATTTCTGGACAAACTGGTCTAAAATCAGGTGTCAGCAGGGCTATACTCTCTCTGTTGGCTCTAAAAGGGAATCCTTCTTTGCCTTTCCTAGTGTTTAGAGTTTGCTGGTAATCCTTGGCATTTAAAGGCTTGTAGATGCATCACTTCAGTCACATGGCCATCTTTCTCTCTCTCTCTCTCTCTCTCTCTCTCTTTTTGTTACCAGAGATTGAACCCAGGGATGCTTAAATACTGAGCCACATTCCCAGACCTTTTAAATTTTTTTTTAGAGACAGAGCCTCCCTGAGTTGTGTAGGCCCTTGCTAAGTTGCTGAGGCTGGCTTTGAACTCTAGATCCTCTTGCCTCAGCCTTCCAAGCTGCTGTGTTTACAGGGGTGTGCCACTACCCCTAGCTCTGTGTTACTTAATATTGTCTTTCTCTCTTGTCTTTTTCTCTTTTGGTACTGTGGATTGAACATGGGGCATTCTACCACTGAGCCCTTTTTAAATTTTATTTTGAGATAGGGTCTCAATAAATTGCTGAGTCTGGCCTTAAATTTGAGATCCTCCTGCCTCAACCTCCAGAATCACTGGGATTTTAGGTGATAACTATCATGCAGAGCCAGATTGCTCCCCTGGCCAGCCCCTGCTTTTTTAAAAAAGCATGCCAGTCAGATTAGGATTCATCCTAATTACCCCATTTTAATTTGACTGCTCTGTAATGACCCTATTTCAAAATGAATTTTCAAAACATTCTGAGTACTGGAGGTTAGAGTTCAGCATACCTGTTTTGGAGGTGACACATTCAATCCATAACAACCAACTGCTGCAGATGTCATTGACACCTTCAAAGCTGTCATATACTTTTCATGTCATATACTTAAGTATTTGCAGTTATATAAAAATACCATTCACAGTCATTAGATGTTCTACTAGAAGTGACTATTTAATGCATTTGTAATGATGACATTTAGCAATATTGTATTGTAAAAACTTCATAATTGTATTGCAGTAAAACTGATTTTGATTTAGTTGCATTTATCAACATTATACTAAGAAGAGGTTCAAATTAATAACAAAAACAACTTTCAGTACAACTTCAGTTAGTGAATTCACATTTCAGACTTGAGGTTATTTTTAATATTAGTAGTTGAAAAATCTGTAGGGTATCAATGTTTTCAAACTTTTTTTCTAAACCATGATTTACTGTGAGCACACATATTTTGCATATAACCCAATATATAATCTTATCCCTCTCTTCACATACACATCAGAAAACTGACACAAAAATAAAACAGTATTTATTCTTACTATACAGGATACAATCTGACATTTTCTATTCTATTTCTTTTCATTAAAAATGCTATGGATCAGCGGTAGTGCACTTGCCTAGCATGTATGAAGCATTGGGTTTGATTCTCAGCACCACATATAAATAAATTTAAGAAGAAAAGCCAGTTTTGACTTTTTGAATTAATTTTACAAATACTGGAACATAAACTTAATTAAGTCAGTCAAAAATCCTTTAGAGACATTTCTTTAGAAACTTTCATAAGTATACTATAATAGTTGAAAAGTTACTATGACTGCTACTGACATAGTATTTAAAAAACATATATCACCTTAGAGGTGGCATTTAGATGGGTAAATAGTTCAATAGCTAACAAGGTTTTATTTAGACATCTAGTAATGAGTTATGTAAATTTTATGATTTTGATGGGAGTTTAAATTTTACCAAATGCAGGAAGGAAAAGAGGTAGAATGATGAATATTTTTGGCTAAATATTTTTAAAGTTACAAAAATGCTTTGACTGTGTAATTTTTAATTTTACTTAAGTATCTCCTCATTCACTATTGTGAAATTAGGTAGAAACATTTCCCAAACAATATTTATTGAAGCCCAAGCTAAAAAGAATTTTACCTGTAGTAAACTCGTAGTGTCTGGATTTCTTCTTCCAATTTTTTGTACTGTTCAATGGCAGCTTCTCTGGCTTCTTGCATTGATAACAACTTTGCCTGTAAATAGTTAACATTTTTAAAATTTCAATATTAATTTTGTGGTGTTAAAATATAGTAGTACAGTATGAATAGAGGTCTTGCATTTCTGGGAGCTGAAAAACTTATCAATATTTTTATTAGTGTCTTAATTTCACAGAAAATGATTAAAATGTATTAATAATAGAAATACCAAAGACATGAACAGTAAATTATGAACTTTGCTCATTACTAAACTTCTACCTTATTTTATCTGTATCATCAGATATATGCCCTTCTGCAATGTTTAACTTTATACACAGAATTCAGAATGTTGTACATGGGTTCAGAGCAATATCTAGGGTAGAGATAAGCACAATGGGTGTTTCACATACAAATTGAATGTGGCTTCACTGCCTAATCACATTAGATTTTCTTTTAACTTTATTAATAGTAAAGCTCAGAAAATTCTAAATATGTTGCCAGGCCATCTTTGATATTTAATGTGAAAAAAAATACCTGACATATCTGATTCTTACAGAAATGATTTAACCTTTTTGATTCCTTTTTGTTAGGTGAAAAAAAATCCCTAAAAGGCAAATGTTAGCAACTTTGAATGCTAGAGATTTCAAATTAAATTTATTTTAACTGATAACTTGAAAACATAAAAATTATTCTAATTAAGTAATGTGATGTTTAAACACATGTGTATATTTTATAATGTTTAAATCAGGTTAAACGCTAACTCCTCAAACAGTTATCATTTCCTTATGGTGAAAACTTCAAATATATATTTTTTTAGTTTTTTAGAAATGTATTGTTATCTATAGTGTTTTTGATAGGGTTAAAAACAGTAATTTCAAAACCTTTTGCTGTCTTTTCACCATCTTTCACACTAGATTTTAAGAAATACCAAAAGGGTTTTCAGCATAGTTTTTAAAATATAGCACCAGTAAGCAGATTTTAGTATTATTAATTTGAGATTAAATTTGCATGAAAAGATTTTTTTTACCCGAAATGTTGTCTGATAGATAACACAAAGCAATCTTATTGTCACAAACCTCACAAACTACATCAATGCCAATACTTAAAAATAATTGAAAGTTTCAAGTGGAGTTATAAAATGTTGCTGAATCCATTGTGATTTTGGTGGGATTATTTTCTTGCATAAGAATGCAGTCATAAGAAAAATAAAAAATCCCAATTACAGAAAAATTAATTAGTGTAATGAAAGTGAACAATAGATAATGCCATTTTTCTATTTTAATAATGGAGAATTATAAAAATGTACAGCAGTTTCGATATTTGCATATAAAGTTTAGACACAAGATATTAATTTGTTCTCTATCTGGGCTAATAAATTCTAACAAAGGGTTCTCTTTGTAATTAAACTTAAGATGTTTGAATGCTTACTTTAACATGGTGTATTCCATAATTATAGATGAAACACTCTAACAAATAAGGAAAAATCTTTTAAAATAAAAAAGTAGGATTTTTTTTAATTGTACACGGACACAATACCTGTATTTTTTTAAGTTTATTTTTATGTGGTGCAGAGATTGGACTCAGTGCCTCACACATGCAAGGAAAGCACTCTACTGCTGACCTACAACCCCAACCCAAGTAGTTGTTTTTGACATCAATAATTAACCACTTCCCCAATTTTCACTGTACCCTAAAGTATGGACAGTAATGGTACTTTGGAAGGCAAAGATACTCACTATGACTAACAGCAAGTTAAAAAGAATCACACAAAAAAGGTCACATTGCATTCAGTTCAATAAAACTTCAAATATCCTGTTGCTTGTATTTAAAATACATCAGTAATAGTCAGGTAACAGAAACTTTGAAAAATATGCCAGTGCTAAATACTTTAGGTGATTATGCTGATTTTTTTAAACTGATAGTTCTGCAAAGAATAAACACAAAAAACTAAAACCAAACAAAAAAAGCAATGTTCTTGTAGGAAAATACCAAAATGTAGATCTTTGCTTAGAAACTTCCATAATGAAAATGGATTGTGTGAGAACTTAAATTTCTCATGCTTAAGGAAATATTGAACATTTCCCTTTCACTCCCACATTTAATTGGCAATGAAGATGCAGTGTTGCTTCATAAACAATTCAATTTCTTATTCTCAATGTCTAATTTTCTCTCTATACTCTGGTGACTATGTCAAGGTTATTATAAACTTTCTGGCTTTAAATCTCCTTACTTTATCTGGTCATGCTGTCTTTGAGGGAAAATCTCCTTACGCAATGGCACAAGGCTACTACTTCAGACCTAGCAGCTAGGATGAACTTCATTCTCTATCACCTCAGATACAAGATCCAGGTTTTCTCATCAGAGTACTCCATCCCACTATCCCAGATGAAAACTGATTCCTGATGACATCATTTGTACTCTTAGAGCTATATATGCCAGAAGACAGACGCAGATCTACTTCTTAGACTTCCTGGGTAAGTAAATCCTTTTTGTTTCAGAGCGGGGCATTGTGTTAGTGAAGTTTGAATTGAATGTTTGTAACATGGAGCATTAAAAACTAATTTTAAAGTGCTGTTTACTTCTATTGTATTTCCTAGATTCTTCATTAACATAATTCCATCACACTATAAGTAAAAAAATGAATTTTATTTCGAAGTATTAAGGAAATTAGCAAATGATATTTTTCCTGTTTTTTTTTTTTTTTGAGCATACCATTCCCATTTTCTGGCAATTTCTTCTATAAAAACTGCATGCTATCATCTAGGTACATACTCACATAATTAAATGCATACAGTAAATAAAACTAATGAAACTTAGGGTAAGAGAATGTTCGATGTAAAGTAAGTCTCCCACTTCCAATCTTCAGTACTACATATCCCCTCTAGTGAGATTGCCAGTTACCTTTTTGTTGTGTTTCCTTCAAGAGATATTCTATGCATTTACAAACAGAAACTGCCATATTTGTGTTTTTGCAAATAAATACATCCATTTATAAAACTGAAAAGTTGACAGCATAGATAATGCCATTTTTGGTATTATCTTGCTTTAAATTTTTTAGAAATTTTCTATTTTGCTTTAAATTAAAAAAAAAATCAATCATCCTGTCCCACAAAATCACATCACCAGTCATATCTACTTCCTTCCCTCACAGACATAAAGTAAAACATCTCTGTGAGTTGGGGTTCATCATTTTCAAGAATATTTTATACTTTATAGATATTGTATCTTTATGTATTCATGGACAATTTTTTGGTCAGTTATTCATATTGATACATGTATCTTTTCCTATAGCGTTTTTTATACATACACTGTGATTATTGATATATTTGGACTTGTTTTTACACATTACCTCATATTTCACAGTAAGCATACTTTGTTTTCTTTCCCCTCAGACTTATGTTGGAATAAATTTTCTATATTTCCCTTATACTATACTCTTCACATTCTCTATATATGCTAATTGAAAAAAACATTTTTTTTTTTTGGTACTGGGGACTGAACTCGGGGTACTTAACCACTGAGCTACCTCCCCAGCCCTATTTTGAATTTTATTTAGAGATAGAGTCTCACTGAGTTACTTAGCACCTAGCTTTTGCTGAGGCTAGCTTTGAACTTGAGATTCTCCTATCTCAGCCTCCAGAGACTCTGATATTATAGGAGTGTGCCACCGTGTCCGGCTCTAATTGAAAATTTTGGTAAAATTACTGAAAATATATTTTTGAGCAGTCTACAGTGAGTCAGGATTTCTGTAGAAAATTATAATTTTAAGTGAACATGCTAATACAAGTTTTATGCTTATACTCATTTTTTTAGGTAAAGTTTTTGTTTTATCAAAACAAAACATGTATGCAATATCATATAAGTATGCACATGGATTTTAAAAGTCAGGATAATTAAATCATAATTTGCATAAAGCAACAATTCACCCATTTTCAGTATATAGCTTTTTATACACAACAACTGATGTGATTTTTGTCCCGACAGTTTTTCTGTTTCCTAGAAAGTTATATACATAAATATGATGCAGTCTTTGAGTCTGGCTTCTTTTATTTAATATAATACTTCTGAGATTCATCTATATTATTGCATGTATCAGTAACTGATTCCTTATGTCACTGAGCAATATTACTTTCTGTGAATGTACCACAGTCTAAGTGATATTGGATTTCTCTCATTTTTGGCAATTATTAATTTAACGGGGCTCTAAATATCTGCATATAGGTCACTTTGTAGACATTTACCTCCATTTCTTTTGAGTAAATATCTCTAGAAGTAGAAATGATGAGTCCTATGGTAAGTGTGTGTTTATATACTTTATAAAAAATCACTGAACTTGCTGCATACGTTGAAATAACTTTAAAGCACCTATGCTTAACTAATACCAATACTTCTTATTAAATGCCTATCTATATAGGTTAAAAATGTATCAAGTGCTTGAAATATGTTTTTATAACCTATCTTGCAACAACCTATTAGACAATTCCAATTATTGCTATTTTACAAGTGATAAAACAGGTTCATGGATATGAACTTACTTACAAAATGTAAGTTTATACTTAAGTAACTTATAAATATAACAGAGCTAATGACTGGTGGACTAAAATGCAAATTCAGGTCTGTTTGACCCCCGAACACATAATTTCCCTTTATACCACTGTATAATATTCTATGATAACCATATCTCTATATCCAGGTAAAACAATGGAATCAAATCATCAATTGGTAACAGAGTTATTGACAATATGGAGGTTCACAGAATAATGAGAATGTGTTTTCCATCTTTATTATACTTTGAATATTCTTAAAGTGATTGAAAAAATATTGGTTAACTATTAGGTTAGTCTCATATAGTTAACTGCCCCATTGTATGCCTATCTTGAGTAGTCATCTAAATATGACAGCCATTTGTACTGGTATTATATTAGAAATGAAGTACATTGTTTCCTTAGAGTTTTATCTAGTAGTTTAGGATGACAGAAAAAGAAAAGATTACACTGTTTACAACATTGAACACTACAGGTTATAGGTATTATGGATAAACTATTATTATCCTATGT